TCCCCTATTGGTTCTAATTCTTACTTACAACATCACTAATGTGAAAGTATGTTAAATAGGTATATATATATGTAAAGCCTATATCAGATTGTGCACTGTTTTGGAGAGGGGTGTGGAGGAAGGGAGACAAAAATTTTAAACTCAAAAGCATATGGAAGTGATTGTTGATAAATCTAAATAAATTAATAAAAAAATTACAAGAAAAAAGAAATAAGACCTTTATCAGAGAAACTTGCCACAAAGATTTTTCCCAGTTTCCTGCTTCTCTTCTAATTTTGCTTGTGCACAAACTTTTAATTTTATGCAACCATCTTACTTCCTGTGAACATCTAATCTCTTGTTTTGTCATGAATTGCATGGGCCCTTTCTGTCTTTATCTTCCTTGGGATATGTTTCTAGCAGTCTGATCTCTGGGTCAAAGGGAATGGACTTTAAAAAAAAAATTGTAAGTTGCTTTCACATATAGTTGGATGAACTCAGCTTCCCCCACACTGCATTGTTGTGCCAGTTTTCCAGTTTCTTTCTCGGCCCTGATTTTCCTTTCTTTCCTTTGGCTACAGCAAGGAACTAAAAAAGATGCAGGAGCAGGATGAGGATGCCACTCTGACACAACTGGCCACGGCCTGGGTCAATCTGGCCACGGTGAGTGCCCCGAGCTGGGAGCCCTGGCAGGGACCGGGCAGAGGGAGGCGTCGGCACCCAGACCCCCACTGGCCGGGAGAAGCCAGGGCCGGGGGGCAGCAGGCCTTTCCTGCGCTGACGGAACCAGCGAGTGTCGCCTGCACGTGTGGCCGCACCCCGCGAATGGAAAACATTTCCCCGCTTCGGTCCTGCGGTGTGCAGTGCTCTGCTGAAGGGAAGTGGACCCTCTTTTCATTTCCAGTAACCTCACTCTCCTGCTGCGGCGAAGGACTGTGGTGTCACAAGCAGCGTGAAGACCCACATCGGGAGAGTGCCGCTGAGCCGCTATCTCAATGTGCAGCCAGGCTCAAAGTCTCCGCTAGGCTGTCCCCCGCAGTGGGGTGCCTCTGGTGACAGGGGATTCCACACATTGCTAAGTGGTCCTCCCTCATCCTGAGCAGAAATCTGCCTCCCTGTTAGGGCAATTCTCCCTTTGGCGGGGCACGTCTAGTCCCTTTCCCCCGTGATGGCCCCCCTGATACCCGAAGACATCAGTCCAGATTTCCCTTCAAGTCTTTCTTCTCTAAGCTCAATGTCCCCAGTTGTTTCATCCAGTGTACTTGTTAATCCCAGTTCTGCCTTCTAGGACATGAGATTCATGTGAGCTTAGCATGCCCTCCATGACCTCGAAAACAAAGACAGTCTCTTTATCGTCTTCCTCTCTCAAGCTCCAAGAATGGGACCGTGCAGAGCGTGGATGCTTCCTAGGGAATGGTGGTGGAATGAATCGCTATTTGGGGGATGACCCCGTCATGTGTGCGTTCTGTGGTGACGCTTAACTGGTCCTGCCACACGTAGACATATGGTGTGACTGGAGCAAAGGGACGTAAGAGGGCCTGAAGCTACAGGTCCCATCCAAAATGAAATAGGGTCTGTCGTTTCCATGAGTGCAGCTCGGCCAGTGGCCCCGGTCAGAGAATATGAGACTTGACGTTTATCATCTATTCTGAGTTGTGGCTGGGCAGTCCTTTTCTCCTCCTAGGGCCACCTGGCTACCCAGCAGTGGGGATGATAGTGGGCCCACTTGCTATGGGCTTCTCTGCCTTGCCGTAGGGTTCAGGGTTGGCTCTTCCTGCAGGCCAGCTGCCTCACACGTCCTGTGTCCTCTCTGGGAGTTCACTAGTTCCATCTCTCTCTGTTTCACCATTTTCAGAGTGATGAAGCCTGGGCCTTCGATTCTTCCCCCCTCTCTCTCGGCAGTCTGGCCTGTTCCTGGCTGGGCTTTCCAGGTTTCTGGCAAGTTTCTTTGTTGGATAACTGATCATTGTTTTCAGAAGGCTCTCTTAGAAACACACAAGGCATCCACAGTCATTCACCTTGGCTGGGTCAAGTGCCAGTGTCCTAGAGCCCAACAGTTTTGTTTTCCTAAGCCTTGGGCCTTTTTCCCTGGCTTGATTTTTGTATAGAAAACAAGACTCCAGCCTGTGGAGTGTCCAGATTGCCTCACTTTTCTCAGTGAGGAGGTTCGAGCTGCCTTCCTAGCCCATTTCCAGTAACTGAATGAATTCGAGAGCTCAGGTTGTGTGCCTCACTTCTTGCCATCAAGGCTTCTGAGGGACACAAGCCGTTTCTTTAGTGACTGGAGTACCAGACCAGCAGCTGAGAGACCTGAATTCGGCTACTGACTCTGTGTCTGAATTTGTTCATGTTTCTTCCCTTCTCTGGGCCTCAGTTTCCCCGTACATAAAACGAGGGGTGAGAGGTAGCTGAGCATAGCAGATGCAGTGGGACATCTCACCTCTCTGACATTCTCTGTGTTAAAGTGTCTCCTGGCTCTAAGACAATCCCTCTGGAGAGTCTGAGTCTGTGGCAGATTAGAGGGTCAGGCATCTTCCTCTCTCTCTTAAAGTTCAAGACAATTTGTCTGTTTGCATCAGTGGAGGGCATTTCTTCTGTACTGGGAATTCCCTCCCCAGATGAAATCACAGTTCTGAACAAGGAAAAAAAAGGCCGGGTATGGAGTAGATGCTCTCCGGGTTCCTGGCTTTGATCATTCACGTGCTGATATTCTACTTGCCAGAAAGCTACCTGGTTCTGACATTCTGTGCTCAGAGGCCTCCCAGATCTTGAAGTTCTTTGTGTCTTTGGTAAATTAGTGGGGTTGCCTCCCTAGGCACAGGTTGTGAGGGTGGGTCTAGGAAGGGAAGCCTATTATTACTGGACTTTTGAGTGATTGAACGTAAAGATGTGGTGACCAGTTGTCCCTGGGTGGTGGCAGGGCAGGCCTCCAAGCTATAACAATTGTGTCTTGTAGGGTGGTGAGAAGCTGCAGGATGCCTATTACATCTTCCAGGAGATGGCTGATAAGTGCTCCTCCACCCTGCTCCTACTCAATGGCCAAGCTGCCTGCTATATGGCCCAGGGCAAATGGGAGGATGCAGAGGGAGTTCTCCAAGAGGCACTTGACAAGGTGAGGTTCGAGGCCCCACAGAAGGCAGGTACACCCTAGTTTCCAACTGGAGCTCTGACAGCACCCAGTTTTATGTTCGGAGGATCACTTCTCCAGCAGAGGAAGCCATGCCTAGCAGTAGGCAAGCTGGGGTGATTCCTATCCCCACTGAGCACTGGCTGGGGGCCCATGAATAAGTCACCTTTGTAAAGTGGGGGTGACACAGTTAGCCCTGCTGCCTCATCTTTGCTGAAAAGGGTTGGGTTTGGACCTCATCCCTGCTTCGGAGTGTAATATAAGAAAGGACAGGATGTGAGAGCAAAGGCTTGGGTTTGAACCCCTCTTCTGAGTCACCTGCTCAGCTAGGGACTCAGACAAGTCCCATAGCCCCCAAGTGCACCAGTCTCCTTGCAAAGACTCCAGTGCTACAGAAGGGGCTGATCCCGACTGCTTGAGGATGTTACTCACGGACACGAAGTCACCGGGTCTGTGGGCAGAGATTGGGAAGGGAAGCAGACAGGCTTCTGTCCTCATCCTGGGCCTTCTGTCCTTGTTGCTTTCAGGACAGCAGCCACCCAGAGACCCTCATCAACTTCATTGTCTTGTCCCAGCACCTGGGGAAGCCCCCTGAGGTAAGGTTCCCCTGGCTCTCTCCCCCTTTTCCTTCCCTCGTGCTCAGGCCTATGCCACAGCGACTCTGCGGAGGACACAGAAGAAGACAGCTGAAGCTGTCCAAAAATAGACCTCCGCATCGGCCTGTCACTAGAGGTGTCCGAGCGAAGGCCGACAAGTGTGTGTCAGGGACAAGTGTGGCATCTGATGAGTGAGCAGGGGAGGGGGAAGGGTACAGGACAGTTTCCTCGAAGAAGAGGCCTGGGAGGGCAGATGTAGGGGAGGACAAGTTTTGAGGGGGATGGTAAGTCATCCAGAGGGATGAGTGATCCTTCTTCCTGCCCTAGGTGACAAACAGATACTTGTCTCAACTGAAAGATGCGCACCGGTCCCACCCATTCATCAAAGAGTACCAGAGCAAGGTAAGGCCCAGCTGAGGACTTCCCAATTCATCCCAGGCCCCGATGGCTCCCCAGCCCCTCTGGACTGCCTCTTCTGTAGTCTTAGTGTCCTGGAGGAGGCCAGGCCAGGCCAGCTATCTCCTGCCTCAGTCAGACCCCGCCTGGAATTTTGGGTCTAGTTCTGGTTCCCATGTTTTAAGGGGTACATTGAAGTCTTCTGAAAGATCATGCGTGAAGAGCTGGAAGTGACCCTAAAAGCTCTTCAGGCTGCCCACTCCTTTTTATAGATGAGGAAACTGAGCCCCAGAGAGGATCAGTTCCAAGGGAGAGACAGAGCTGGATCTGAATGCAGGTCCTCTGTCTGAGTCCAAATCCATGGCTTGTTCTAGACCATGGAGAGCTCCCCGTGGGAAGAGGGATTAAGGCCTGTTCTGCCTGTCCTCAGAAGGCAGATCCAGGAGGCTATCTCAGGGAAACAGATTTCAACTCATTATAAGAAAGAACTTTCTAAGAGTGGAGCAGAGCCTCCCGTGAGATAGTGAGCTCTGCATCATGGGAGGAATTTCAGCAGGAGCTGGAAGGAGCATCTGTCTAGGCCACTGTAAAGGAGGGAGCTGCCCCCTTCAGGCAGGGCTGCATTAGATGCCCTGTTGAGGTCACTTCCTCCTCAGAACTTTTGTAGGAAGCTTGTGAGAGACTGATGGGGTTCCCCTCCCTTTTGTTTTCTTTTGAAGGAAAATGATTTTGACCGGCTGGCTTTACAGTACACTCCAAGTGCGTGAGAAGGGCCACGGGGTTTGTGGAGGGCATCGGACTCTCCTCCCCAAGAAAGGAAGAAAACCCCCTCAGCTGGCCACCCTTCCCAAAGCAAAGCATTCGTCTTCCCATGCAGGACCATTCCTTTCGGGGCCAATGGGATGCCCTTTCTTGCAGGTTCTCCCCAGCCTCCCTCAGGAGGCTTCTTGCCCTCAGCTCCTTCTGAGGACTCTGGCCAGACCCAGGCTCCTGCCCACAACACCTTTTTCAATAAAGGCTCTTCAGTAAAGGACCCTAGCATGTGTCCCCTGGAGGGTGGGGAGTCAGGGCTCCACCTGGGGCCCAAGGAGGCTGAACAGGGATCCCACAGCTGCCTGTGGGACCCTGGGCAAGGCCCTTACTCACTTCTGCTTGCTTATAAAATGAGGGATGATACCGCTGGTGCTGCACACCCTGAAACCTCTCCTCCAGAAGTGAAAGTTGTGGATAATTATTGCCAGAGCTGCTGCTGGGTGGGGTGAGCCCCAGTTCAGCACCTGAGCCACACCCTGCTGTCTCCCTGAGATGCATCTGCCATCTGTGGGGGCCAGATGGGAGCGTTAATTGCTCTACATGTGTGAATTACTTAAAGTGAACATTTGTTCACATCTGTGATCTCACTGGATTCTCAGCCAGTCCCAGGAGGGGCTGTGGGCTAGGAGTAATTTATCCACAGTTGACGCCGTCCGTCACCCTCTTGGTTCTCCATTCTGAGTTCTAGTTACACTCCTCTCCTGGTTCTCCAAAAGGTCTGAACGCTCCTTCCCAGGCTCCTTTGTTGAGCCTTCATCCAGGACCCACCTGCTGACGCCGGGAACACTGCTGAACCCCAACACTGCCCTGGCTCCTCTTCTCCCTCCATACCATTTCACTTAGTGATCACATGAGCTTCCGTGGATTCCATCTCATCTCTATTTGGATGGTTTTCAGATTTATTTAACCAATCCTAATCTCTCTTGTGACCTCCATCTCCAAAGTGTCCAAAATTGAACTCCTCTTTCCCTCAAACCCTCCCCTACTCTTAATTTCCCTATTAAGAGGGTGGAGGGTAACACCTCCCCATCCCCCAGGCTCACAACCTAGGTGTCATCAGGGCCTCCTCACTCTCACCCCTTAGATCCAAGCTGTTGTCAAGGCCTGTCCATTCAGCCCACCTTGCCATCTCTCATGCCCTTTCTTTCTCTGCTCTGACACTCACCACCTAGGTCTTGGTACTCATCACATCATACTTGGACTACGGGCCATACCCTGCTAGCTGGTATCCTCACCTCAAGGTTTTCCCAGCTCCAGCCCATCCTCCACTGAGCTGTTACATGGATCTTTCCCCCCCCCCCACTTAATAGTATTTTATTTTCTCCAGTTATATGTAAAGATCGTTTTCAGCATTCACTTTTATAAAGTTTTGAGTTCCACATTTTTTTCTCCCTCCTTTCCCTCCCTCCTCCCCAAGACATCAAGAAATATGATATAGGTTATACATATACAGTCATATTAAACCTATTTCCACATTAGTCATGTTGTGAAAGAAGAATCAGAACAAAGGGAAAAGCCACAAGAAAGGGAAAATTTCACAAAAAAAAAAGAGCAAATAGTACACTTCAATCTGCATTTGGACTCCATAGTTCTTTGTCTGGTTGTGGTTAGCATTTTCTCTCATGAGACTTTTGGGATTGTCTTGGATCATTGTATTGCTGAGAAGAGCTAAGTGTATCAAAGTTGATCATTACACAATGTTGCTATTACTGTGCAGTGTTCTGGTTCTGCTCACTTCACTCAGCATCAGACCATACAAGTCTTTCCAGGTTTTTTCTGAAATCTGCCAGCTCATTTCTTAGAGCACAATAGTATTCCATTACATTCATATACCATAAATTGTTCAGCCATTCCCTAATTGCTGGGTATCCCTTCAATTTCCAATTCTTTGCCACCACAAAAAGCTGCTATAAATGTTTTTGTACATGCGGATTCTGTTCCTTTTTTTATGATCTCTTTGCGGTGTAGACCTAGTAGTGGTCAAAGGGTATGCACAGTTTTATAGCCCTTTGTTATAGTTCCAAACTGCTCTCCAGAATGGTTGGATCAACTCATAACTTCACTAATAATACATTAGTGTTCACATGGATCTTTCAGAAGCACAAATCTGACCCCCTTCCCATGATTCAGTCAACTCCAGTGGCCCCCTATTACTTCCAAAATCAAATATAAAATCTGGCTTTTAGAGTCAAGTCCTTCATACCTGCTTCCCTCCTACTTTTGTGGTCATCTTCTATCTTACTCAATTTCGTGTACTCTGTACTTCAGCAACATTACAAGACACCCCATTTCCCAGTTGCATTCATTTCCTGTCTGTCCTCCACATCTGGAACAATCCCCCTGCTCCTTTCTGTCTCCTGGCTTTCTTCCAGTTTCAGCTGTAGTCTCACCTTCACCCTTTCTCTGTCCCGCTTCATGCCAGTGCCTTCCTACCAGCATTTCCTCCAAGTTTCCCTGTATGTAGCTTGATTATACATAGCAAAACAAAGATGTATTTGAATGTTGTCTCCCCCATTAGATTGTGAGCCTCTACAAAGACGTACAGGAACCATGTTTTTGCTTTGTTCATATCCCTAGTGCTTAGCATAGTATGTGGTACATAGTAGGCATTCTTGATTAGATGATTTCAAAGATCCAATCAATCAACAAACATTAAGTACCTACTGTATGCCAGATAAAAGGGCAAAAAATGAAATGCTCTTAAGGAATTTAGATGATATCAGGGGAGACAATGCATGTAGACAGAGCAAACATGAGTCAGACAGGCCCTTCCCTTGAGGTGCTTATCCACTCATAGGCAGAGACAACATCTAGGGAAATGATGACCAGGGCTATCAGGAAGGTTATAGAGGTGGTGTGTGGAGTATTGGGACAGTGGGTTGATACCCTTTCCAAGAACACTGGCAGAGTTGATTTGGTTCCAAAACCAAAAAGAGGGTGGAGGGAGGTATGCCAGGAAGATGGCAGTAGCCTGATAAAGGAGGCCACTTGGGAAGCCCAGGAGTTGGGGAAAGCCATGTGCCAGGAACTGAAAGGAAGCCAGTTTGGTTACACTAAAGTCCAGCAGGAAGGGAGGGCTATAGAATGAGGCTGGAGAGAGAGGGTTTAACAGGCTTTGATAGTAACATTTACATAGTGCTTTAAGATTTGTAAAGTACTTTATATATGTTAGTTACCTATTTGTTCCTCACAAGAATCCTGGGAGGTAAATGCTATTATTATTCCCCACCTCATCTTTTTTTTTATATGCTTTTATTTAGTATTTTGTTTTCCCCCAGTTACATGTAAAAACAATTTTTAACATTTGTTTTTAAAACTTTTTTGAGTTCCAAATTCTCTCCCTCCCTCCCCACCCCCACCCCTCACTGAGAAGGCAAGAAATTCTATATAGGTTATACATGTGTAGTCATGCAAAACATATCCATAATAGTTATGTTATGAAAGAAAACATAGACCAAAAAAACACAAAACAAATTTAAAAAAAAGCCTCAAGAAAAATAAAGTAAAAAAAAAGTATGCTTCAATCTGTATTCAGACACCATCAGTTCTTTCTCTGGGATGGATAGCATTTTTCATCGTAAATCCTTCAAGAGTTGTCTTGGATTGTTGTATTGCTGAGAATAGCTAAGTCATTCACAGCTGACCATCTTACAATATTGCTGTTACTTTGTACACAGTACATTTCACTTTGCATCAGCCCATGCAAGTCTTTTCAGGTGTTTCTGAGAGCCTCCTGCTCATCATTTCTTATAGTACAATAGTATTCCATCATAATCACATACCACAACCTGTTCAACCATTCCCCACTTGATGGGCTTCCCCTCAGCTTCTAATTCTTTACCCCCAGAAAAGAGATGCCATAAATATTTTTGTACAAATATGTCCTTTTCCATTTTGCATTTTACCTCTTTTGGGATACAGACCTACTAGTGATATTCCTAGGTCAAGGAGTATGCATGGTTTTATAGCCCTTTGGGCATAGTTCCAAATTGCTCTACATAATGGTTGAATCAGTTCACAACTCCACCAATGGTGCATTAGTGTCTCAATTTTCCCACATCCCCTCCTACATTTGTCATTTACCTTTTCTGTTCTATTAGCCAGTCTTATAGGTATGAGGTAGTACCTCAGAATTGTTTTAATTTGAATTTCTCCAATCATGAGTTAGAATATTTCTTCATATGGCTATAGATAGCTTTGATTACTTCATCTGAAAACTGATCATTTGATCATTTATCAGTTGGAGAATGGCTTTTATTTCTATAAAGTTGACTCAGTTCTCTATGTGTTTGAGAAATGAGGTCTTTATCAGAGAAACTTGCTTCAAAATGTTTTTCACAGTTACTATTGCTAACCTTATTTCCCTCCATCCTATTTCCCCTCCCCTCATTTATTCTATTTTCTCTCTCCTTTCACCCTGTCCCTCTTTGAAAGTGTTTTTCTTCTGACTACCCCCTCCCCAATCTGTCCTCCCTTCTATCACCTTCTCCCTTCTCTTATCCCCTTCCCCTCCTGTTTTCCTGTAGGGTAAGTTAGATTTCTATACCCAATTGAGTGTGGATGTTATTCCCTCTTTGAGTCAATTCTAATAAGGGTAAGATTCACTCACTCCCCTTCACCTCCCTCCTCTTTCACCTTTTTGTAAAGCTTTTTCTTGCCTCGTTTATGTGAGATAATTTACCTCATTCCACCTCTCCCTTTCTCTTTCTTCCACTACATTCCTCTCTCACCCCTTAATTTTATTTTTTAGATATCATCCCTTCATATTCAACTCACATCTGTGCCCTCTGTCTAAATATACTCCTTCTAACTACCCTAATAATGAGAAAGGTCTTATGAGTTACAAATATCATCTTCCCATATAGAAACATAAACAATTTAAGTTTACTAAGTCCTTTATGATTTTCCTTTCCTGTTTACCTTTTTATGGCTCTCTTGAGTCTTGCATTGGAAAGTCAAATTTTCTGTTCAGCTCTAGTCTTTTCATCAGGAATGCTTGAAAGTCCTCTATCTCATTGAATTTCCATTTCCCCCCCCCCCCGAAGGATTATACTCAGTTTTGCTGGGTAGGTGATTCTTGGTTGTAATCCTTGTTCCTTTGCCCTCAGGAATATCATATTTCAAGTCCTCTGATCCTTTAATATACAAGCTGCTAAATCCTGTGTTATCCTGATTGTGGATCCATGGTACCTGAATTGTTTCTTTCTGGCTGCTTGAAATATTTTCTCCTTGATTTGGGAACTCTGAAATTTGGCTATAATATTCCTGGGAGTTTTCATTTTGGGATCTCTTTCAGGGGGTGATTAGTGGATTCTTTCGATTTCTATTTTACTCTCTGGTTCTAGAATATCAGGGCAATTTTCCTTAATAATTTCTTGAAAGATGATATCTAGCCTTTTTTTTTTTATCATAGCTTTCAGGAAGTCCAATAATTTTAAAATTATC